TAAGTAAGCAGACCTGGCTCTTATCAAAGTAATTTGCACAGAAAGTGTGAAAAACACAATTTCTTGGTTATTTGTGTAGACATTACACTTACTGTGTGAGTGGAAAACACTCAGAATTTCTAGTAGCTCCCTCTGCCCACAGTAGGATAGATCCTGTGGGTCTATCCAGAGTTTCAAAGAAAACAAAATGTGCTGTTTAATCAATTACAAAACTGACACCTGGGGAAAAAAAAAAAGAAAAAGAAAAAAAAAGAAAGAAGAATCAGTTACAGAAAATCTAGGAGCTGAATAGCCAAACTTTTATTTTCTTCTGCAGTTTTCCTCGTCCAGCTCCGCTTTGCAAAAGATTTTTGAAGACTGTCCTACTGCCCTCTGTGGGCATTACTGTAAAGTACCTTAAATAGCCCTTTGGGCATGTGTTGGGACATGACTCCCTCAGAAACTTCTGCTTCTCTCATGCCCATGTGCTGCAGCTGCTTATTAAAATGATATCTTAATTTTACAAGGCCAACTGTACATCCTCCATGCCTTCCAATGCAGTAAGAAGCCTAAGAGAAGGCATCTGTAATGGCTGTTTGGTCTTGCTTGTTCTGAAAGCCAGTGAGATATAAACTCATCTCCAAAGAAACATACAGAAATGAAAGAATTAATGATAAGTTTGGAATGAAGATTCTGGTACATATGAGATCCTGCCCTAGTTTTGGTTGAGGTGCTTTGTTTCAGTTATCATTGTGTGATTTTCAGGGGCTGGGCTGAGGGGTTTTGCAAGAGAATTGAGTGGATAATAAATATTACTGTAAGATTTATACATTAGAAAGTCTTTGTGAAGCAGAAATGGTGATTTTTGCATTTCTCTACAATGGTCAGTTTTTAAAGAATGTAAAAATAACTGCTGCTTTTTAGCTTCAGCTGCTCCATGTCCCCTGGCAATCTGGGGAATGAGATACAGAACAGACAGTGCCTGGGGGTACTCTTCTGCACCATCACTGTCCAGGGCATTAGCTCAGCTCCAGAGAAACTACAGAATTAAGAGAGTTTCAATTTATTCTCATTTGTCCAATAACATGGCTAAATCTCATATTTATTTATACTATCTACCAAACTAGAGAGATGCAAGAATGTTTTTTTTCTCATTGGTCTATTTGGATTCTGATTTGTAAGCTGCAATTATTGCAATGAATTTTTACCAGTGCCACCTTCAAGGAACTAGACCTGAGTGTGCTCAAGTTGTCTGTTTCCAAGTCAGTATGGAAATGGGCATTAGATGGTTGTGATTTTGGTCATGGTGCTTCTGGGCTTTAAGTACTGCCAGTAGCCACTACACATCCTAGGGAAGAAACCTTGCTCTGATCTACAGCACTGTGAGAGCCAAACCAGCATGCTTCCACGTGCTGGAGGCTGTTGAAAATGATTGTTTTACTCAGCTGCAGCAGAAACTTCCATTTACACCAAACCATGGACAACCATATACTGAACTTCTGGAAAACAGGCCTGTGGGCAACTGGCCCTCCGGTTAAATTTCCTGCTAACACAGTCTCGGCTTGCCAGAGTCCCCTGCTCGTACATGTTCCTTCCCACCAGTGGGTTTCCACACACACTCACTGCGCCAGGCAGAGGAAGGTAGCCGGGGCTGGAGCACCCTCTGCAGGGACCTTCCTCCCGTCACGGCGCAGAGCCGCCTGCCCGGGAGGAGGTGGTCAGGGATACCTCCAGCCCACCACTCTCCTCCGCACTGATGAGATGGACAGAGCCAAAAGGGCAGAGGGATTGTGTTGTGCCAAGCCTCGGCTCAGCGATGTCAGCAGTGGGAGCTGCAATACGCCTGCTCTGCTGGGAGGGAATGCGAAGGACATTCTTTGGGATGTAGCATGATTATGGAGATGATAATCCAGGTGCTGCTTGGTATGAACCATCCTCTTTGCAGCATGAAGGCATCTGTAATTTTAAGGCTTTATTATTCTTTTAAAAAATTATGTAATTAACAAAATAATTTATTTTTATCATCTGATATTGAACTAAGTTGCAAGGCCTCCATTTGCTTTTGTGAAAGTTTTCCCTACCAAAACCACCATGATGGTTGTCCTATTTCCCAGCTCAAGGCCTCATACTCAAGTTTCCACTCAGATTTCAAACGTGCTGGAAATAAACAGAAATTCTGGCTTCCAGGGATTTCATTTCAGTGCTGACTGTGACCACGCCATTGAGCAAGACTCCAGACTTGACAAACATTTGTTTTGAATATCATTGCTTACGGGCACTGGCAGAGGAGCACAGTTCCCTGCTCCAATGGCTTGCAATGTGTAGGGCAAACATAATTGTCTAAGATTTAGCCTATTGTCAAATAGTTGCATCAACATCTTGTAGTCCTATAATAAACTAAAAGGAACAAAATAGTGAAGCTTAATACCATCTTTTAAAGGTAGTATGTTCAGGATTACACGTCACAGCTTGCTAGAAGTGGAGTTGTGGTACACAGTTTGCTTGGAGAAGGAGTGCTCTGTAACTACAGCACTTGGTTGTCATCTGCTGAGATGTAACTGAGGTATTAAATTTGATGTAAACAAGGAAGGAACCCTATGACAGTATTTGTTTGCATTCCTGAGCTTGCTGCATGTAAAGGAAAGGTAGAGAAGGGATTCTTTGTCAAAAGAGTGTTAAAAGAATTAGCCTGTCTTGGATACATCAATATCCACCTATGAATATGGCACCTATACTTTTGTCACTTCAATAGGTATACAAAATAGCTCAGAAAAATAAAGTCTTTCTTTTCATTTTTGCAATTCTCAGTGGTTTGCTCTGTGCACATTTCAACACCATCACTTCTTGCACTCAGGGAACACAAACCTTCTTAGTCCTCTTTTCCATTTGAATTGAAAAAGCAGCTCAAAGAACTGGCAGTTCCAACAACTATCTCAGCAATATAACAGCACATGATATGTTTCTTCTCAATCTGATGTGTGCCTGACCCATGATTGCAAGGGAAGCTCTTAATCTCATTTTAAAAATCAACTTTCCACTTTCCAAGGCATAAGAAGGTGAAAACATCTGACTCATGAACAATAGTTCAAGATTTATTCATTGTTTTATATTATGAATCTAAGTTCCATTCCTCTTAATGTTTATATTTTGAAATAGTGGCTCTTTCTGAAGCCAGTGCATAAGTTGAGTTACTTTCGAGAACAGTCTACTGCTGTCTGGCTAAGTTATGGCCCTCAGGTATAACAGGCTGCAGCCAAGCTCTCAGGCTTCTTTGAAAAGCTTTTTAAAAAGACTTTTCCATGCTGCTTTTAATCTATTTATATTTACTACTAAACTTCTATATTCAGTGGCTTTATTCACTGTTGCCCTGGTCTTTGTGTGCTCTCCTACACAATCAACGTAAAAGTCCTTATATAATTAAGTCTGTACTTGTAGAACATAGAGTGCCATTCCCATGGGAAAAAAAGAAAACCAACCAAACAAAAACACAACAGAAAAGTAAAGGCCCATCTTTCTTATGGGTGTGTGGAAATACAACCTCTAGCTAAGTAGACCACTGGAAAAAATCCAACCTATCCTCTGATCATAAGTTACTACGAAAGGTAGTGTCATTTTTAAAGCTGTCTTGCCACTTTTTAATTTCTCCCCCCAATACAGACAACTATTCAAAGTATTTCACAAAATGTAATGAAGATCAAGGTTTTTGTTTCCATTTCACAGACCTAGAAATGGAATAATAGTGGCTGTGAATGACTTATTACAATCCAGAGTGAAGTTAATAAGAGTCAGACAAAAAACCTACAGTGCTGCAATGAAGTAGATCTTTTTGGTCTAAACAGAAAATCGTGAACTTCGTATGTGTTTCACCACCTATAGATTGGCTAAAGGTGACACAGGATATGGATACACTGGGTTTCATTCTGGTTTTCTCATAAATTACTGTTTTTATGTTTCTACTCGCTGCCTTAAGGCTCAGTCCTTATCCTGCCAAGCTCGGGTCTGGACTGAAATTTCCAAACCGATGGGCCACGGTGCTGCTAGCTCTGTCCTGCAGTGTGGTTTGAGGCATCTTCATGGCTGATGCAGCAAGACAGGTCTGTGAAGTCGAGTTCCGCAATTATAGATCTCTGCAGGGAATTTGAGCTGGCGGTGGAAAGTAAGAAGTCCTGCATTCGCTCTCTGCAGTCAGCGGACGGGGGATAGTGGGAGGATTGGAAACAAGTAGCTGACTGATGGTGGGGTGTAAACACAGGAGCGAACTGGTGTAGTGCCTGGTCCCTCCGGACGGCCGACCTGGAAGCACAAGTCCTTTGCTGATGTCCAGGGGCCGCAGGCAGTGACCCGTGCCCTTGTCTGTCCCCGAGCCCTGCCCCGAGTGTCCCGGCGGGCAGGGGGCACAGCCGCGGGCAGGGGGCACAGCGTGGGCAGGGGGCACAGCCGCGGGCAGGGGGCACAGCGCGGGCAGGGGGCACAGCAGGGGCTGCCGCCGCACCCCCTGCCGCTGCCGCCGGCCGGGCCCACGCCCCTAGCCCCGCCGCCAGTTACCCGGGCCCGGCGGGAGCGGCATTCGAGGCTGGAGGGGCCGTGCCCGTCGGCGCCGCTCCCGAGGGCTCAGCCTCGCCGGGGCCGGGCTGACACGGGCGAAGCCGTGCCGGGCCGTGCCTGGCAGCGCCGGGAGGGGCGGGCCGGGGCGGGGCCGGGGCGGGGCGGCCGTGGCGCGGCTGTGGCTCGGCACGGGCCGGCACGGTGGGTGCGGCGCGGCCCGGCCCGGCACGGCACAGCACGGTGCTGCCTCCCGCCGGGCCGCGCCGGGCGCAGGGAGGGAGAAAGGCAGGGAAGAAAGGAAGGAGGCAGGGACGGAGGGACCCCACGGCGCCGCTCGGAGCCCGGCCCGACCCCGGGAGCACGACAAGTGCCTGGCACGGGATAAAGTTATCCCGGAATAAGGCTGCACGCATGTGCGTCACCCCGGATGTGAACATGCCGGCCCGGCTCCCCGCTAGCTCGCTCCGCCTGGCTCCAGCGGATGGGCTGAGCCGAGCCGTGCCGAGCCGAGCCGTGCCGAGCCGTGCCCGCGGCCCTGCAGCCCGGTAGGGGCTGGGGGAGGCCGGGCCCCCCCGGCGCCCTCGAGGGCCGAGGTGCGAGAGCCCCTCCCGGCGGGGCAGGGGCAGGTGCGCAGCCCGGGGCGAGCGGCGGGCGGGCCCCCGGGAGCGATGGATTTTCGGGGGAAGAAGTACGAGCGCGGCAGTAACTGGTCGGACCCCGAGGTGGTGGAGCTGCTGCAGCTCTGGGCCGACGAATCGGTGCAGATAGAGCTGGAGAGCTGCTTGCGCAACCAGCACGTCTTCAACCGCATCGCCGAGGTGCTGCGGGAGAAGGGAATCCACCGGACGGGCGACCAGTGCCGGGAGAAGATCAAGAAGATGAAGCTGGAGTACCGGCGGATCAAGGACAATAGCAAGGCTCCACGGGGCGGGCGGACGTGGAAGTTCTACGAGGTGATGGACCGGGTGCTGACCAGCCGGCCGGCCCTGGCCTATGGGTCTCTGAGCGGCAGCATGATGGCTCAGCAGGTGCTGCAGGGCAGCATGGTGGAGAGCTACCACCATCAGTTTGCCTCCTCGGCCCTGCCCTTTGGACACTCCCAGCACCCTGAACTGATGGAAATTAAATGTGAGGAGGTGAACTCTGATGACCACAGCTTGACCCCAGAGCCCCCACAAGCCATGTCTTACCAGCAGGGCTCCCCTGAAGAACAGGAGATGGAGAGAGCCTTCTTGGAGAGGGCCCAAAACGACTCTCCCATCTCCAGGGTGGAGATTCCCATTGAAACCAATGTTTCACCTTCAGGTAGGGATAGCCTTTTACATTCCAGCATAAGGTTTCTGCCCATTTTCCCAGAAAGAGAGTTTTTTCCCTGGTGCAGAGGTAGACACCTGGTTGTCACACTGACGTTCAGATCCTTGTTTTTCCACCTCCCAAAAAGCTTTGAAGTAGAAGGCTGGTATCTGCATTCATAGTCTTCTGGCCATTCCTAAAGTGTATCTTGCTGAAGGTAAATAAAATCTAGAATTACTGAGCTAGGCTAAATACTGTGTATGAAATCCAAAGGCTGGAATGTCAGCCATAAGCTGGGCTAGGCGTTTATGCTGGATTTCTGCATATAATGCTGACAGTGCTTACCTTACTGGAAAAAAAAGCAATTGCATGCTTTTTGGTATCATAACCAGGGCTGTCTGCAGTCCTCATGCTGAATTGTATCAGGAGATCCTCTTCTGCCTCTTCTGCCATGGTTGCACTATAAACCTTCAGGTGAAACTTTCCTTTCATTCTTTCAAAATATATTCCTAACCTAACACTTTAGGATATTCAACAATGAAGAATACTTGGGAATAATTATTGTCTGGCTTTCCAAGCTGTTTAGTGGGACTTGGCAGAGGTCACTGGCAGAAACAGCATATTTGTGTACAGGAGATAGACTCGTGCACTGAAAGTACAGTTGGCCATTGCTTAGCTGTTGGGAAGGGTACAGTCTGGAAATCCTGGGGATTTCAAACCAGTCTAGGACAGGCTGATGGAAAAGCATGATATGTTGGAGAAGAAGAGAGATGATAACCAGTGTGAAGTTAATGTCTGAGATCAGGAGGAAACGCTATGTCCTCTTCACTGTGGTGATTGCATAGTTAGTCCAGTGGAGGGAACTGATGATCATCCACGTTAATACAGAGGCTGAGTCTGGGGCTGGGGCTGATGCCATAATCGTATGCCCAATGTGTGCTGTTAAAAAACAAACTTCAAAAAAATTCGCAAACCTCAAGATGTACCTGACAGGTTTTACTTTGTTTTTTTTTTTCTGTAAACCCTGTAGTAGATTAAAAGGCATTCCAAGGACAGGCAGGGGAAGGCAGCAAAGCATGTCCATGCCACTTTGTTTGCTGCGCATTTACTTTCTCTTCCTTGCTTTTATGTGTTCACAGGTTTCAGTGATCCCAACATGTCAAACTCATCACGGATCCAGAACGTTGTTCCCCGGCCTGGCTTCTCTGCCTTGCACCGACTGAGAAAAAAGCGGAAAGGCCAGCGCATGAGGGACCCGCTTGATGATCTCTTGCTGAAGACTCTGACATCTCAGCGGGCCATGGAAGAGCGCTTTTTGCAGATGGAAGAACGCCGATTTCAGCGAGATCTGGATGTGGAGGAGCGTCGAATGCAACTGGAGCAGCGACGGTTTGAACTGGAGCGGGAGCATGAGTTTCGCATGTTCAATGTCTTCGCTCAAATGCTCAGCATCCTAAAGCAGAGCCATAGCAGCTCCTCCTCCTCTGTTGTCATGCCTCGGAGCTTGGACTTCAGCCAGGCACTGTCTGAAATGGAGGGAATGGGAGGAGGAGGGGGCAACCTGCAAGAGATGAGAGTTCGTCCACTTACCAAGAGGAAGGTTGACATGCATGGCTTCTGTAACCCCAACGGCTTCCAGAGAAGCCCCTATCTCTCTGCTCGTGGCAACTTTGCCAATATGTTTCAGGGCTCCACTGAGGAAGGGTACAAAGCTTATCATGCTGACAAATATGATGAAGACAAGAACCCCAATGTAAGTAAGAAACTCAAAGTGTTTTCCTGGCTTTCTTGCTAGGAAAAGAACCACTTTCTTAGAGGTAGAGGTTTGCTGACAGATATGCCAGAAGTGTGGGTTTTTTTTTTTTTTTGATTTCACTAATGCGAGGTAGATCAAACTGTTTGAGGAAAAGAAATTAGAAGTAGCTTTGCAGATCATATAGATATCACAGATGAATGCTATGTACACCTTGAAAAATGTAAGAAACCTGTAGGAACAGAGCTCATGTTCGTCCTTGCACCTCATCACCTCTATTACCCAATGAAGACCATCTCTGATTATCTAATTATATCTGATTATTGCAGCTGATGGGTGCAGGAGATACAACTACTAAGTAGTAGACTTTTTTTTTAATTACTTTTAATAACACTCAGCACTTTTTCTGCCTGTTTACACTTAGCTGTTCAGTTTTAAGTAGCTCATCATAGCCCTCTTGTGGCACAAAGGCTGAGTGTTAATACTTCATGGCAAATTATTACTGGGTAACAACTATAGTAAATATAAATATTGTTTTGTATGTGGATTACTTTAAAATACATCATTCAGATACTGAACTACTTGAAACTTTAAAAATATTTTATTATTAGCCCTGACTTAGTCTCCTGTGTTGGGAGGTAAAACCTAGATTTTTAAGCTAGAAAAACATGGGCAAGTTTATGTTACAAGATGTGAGGCACAAGCTACCACTCCTACCAACTGTTGTCTATGTAGGAAGTAGCTTTTTAAACAAATACTTGAAGTTGGACTTGTACTTTAATAACATCAGAAGCATATAGTTACTTACATTTTCTTTCACATTTTTAGAATTTATTCGCCCAACCTCTTTAAATAATGAAAATGTGCTAGCAGATTTGAACTCTTCAAGGTCTAACACCATGCTATATATGGCCAAATCATACATGGAACTGTAGGGTCATCTCTCCAGAGGGGAAAATTCAGTGTTATAAACACTTTTCGTGACTACATGTTTATGTGGTTTCTAAGCAAATCAGTGGTGTGGAATGGTAAGGTCTGATACACAAATGCTTTTAAGTAAAGAAACGTGTCCAAAACATTGTTTAAAACAGCTGCAGAAGGTAAACCCCATTTTTTTCAAAGTTATTTTAGGTTTTCTTTTTTTAGTTACATATACCAGTAAGTGAATTCAAGATTAAGTTAAACATATTCTGTAAAGAAGTATAAACCATTAGTACATATTCATTTACAGATTGTTTATTAATTGAGTGCTTGGGATATATATGGAAACACACACACATAGATGAGTGTCTCAAGTTATATATGGTGAAGTTTATGTGAACTGTGTTTTGATTTTTCCGTGGTAAGCTTTTTGGAAGCAATTTAGTGAAATGATAGCTAAGATGATGTATGCATGTTTTATGTGTCTATAAACAATACATTGTTTCTCTTTTTAGGGTATAATAAACTTTGGCACCAGTGAGAATAAACTCTGCTTTGACCTGATGTCTAAGCGGGTAAGTTCTATTCCAAAAAGAAACACTGAATTTGCTGTATATCCTCAATCCTCCTCAATGCTTGCAATTTCCTAGAGTTACTGCTGTTGCTCAGGCTTCTCTGCTAAAGTTTTTAATTGTGAATTTTCATTGTGAATTTTGTGAAGTCACTTTTGAATCCATTATGTTATTTTTCCAGGAGGATAGGAACATGGGTGTTTTTTCCTTCCTCTTTATGATGGGTTTCCCTTTGGGGATGTACTTGGTTCAGAAAACTAAATGAAAAAAAGATTCATTTTATTTTCCTCTGATGACAGTTGATGATTTAATACAGATGCTTTGAAATTAGTTTTGAACTCTATTTAATTTCAAGGATCTTCACATCTGTTCATTATGAAGTTACACAATTTGGATACTCGGTTCTGAACTCACCTGAAACATGCAAGAGTGGCAGCAGTGAAATCCCTCAAAATCGGACTGGGTCACCTGCTACTGCTCACTTTGTTTGGTTCCACCAGGCAGAGGAATGAAACACACAGTACAACTGAAAAAGTAGAAAAAGCCAAAAGGAAACAACAGAACTGTGTTGTAGAGGAATGTTTGTTCTAGATTTCCATTAAAGTCACTTCCCAGGTGGCAGCCTTCGAGGTGGGCAGGTGGCACTTTGTCCTGCCTTTAGTTGTCTGTGGAGTGGGAAGGTGGCTCAGGGTTGGGCACTCAGTCTTTACGTGAAGTTCATGGTTGCTCCCATTCCACCAATTCCCACCTTCAAAATGTTCCTTGTTTTATTTCTGCCTGCCACTCCACTGACTCGGGGGGATGCTATCCCTCCACTCTGCCTTCCAGCTAAAAGAACAGGTAAGGCAGAACTGCTGCTGCCTGCATGAAAATGGTGCCTTCTAGGCTGCATAGGTGGGACCTTCCTTCCGTCAGTGTCCTTTCCCCTTTAAACCAACACCAAGCCTGCAGCAGAGGGAGTGCAGAGGGAGACAGTAGTCAGCTACATCCTAATTAGCCTTTCTATAAAAATTAGTTGAGACTGTCAACTATAGTGTTCAAGCTTGTGGCAACAAGTTGAACAAAGAGACCGTTATCAGCTTCTCAGTCATCGCAGCCTGGAGTTACAGTATGGATTCACTGAATGCAGCACCAGCTGGGATTGTAGGCAAATAATTTTTTGCTGTTTGGGACAATAAATACTTAACGGTTGCCACTGAATAATGTATCCGATTTCTTTCTTCAACTTCTGACCCTTAAATTAGAGAATATTTTGTGATGTGTGAGATCTCAGATGGTTTTCCTTTCTGTTAGCCCATCTGGTTTCCTTAGCCCTTAACACATTTTTCGTAAGAGTTCTCCTCTTATTATTGCATAGTCATTTTTGGCCAAGTCTGCTGATAAGTTTTATGTAGCATTCTCTAGAAAAGTTTAAGAGAGAGATCTGAGAAACAGTTATGTGCTGTCTCAGCTCCAGAACATCTACAGCTCAATAAAGGAACTTTAATCCTGTAATATCAGGTTGTAATTCTGCATGGCATAAGGACAGTGCCTTTAAACTCCAGAGCTTTGCACCAGATATTAAAACACCTATACAAAATGTTGTGGTTTTGTTATCATGTGTGAAATTTTCACACTGCATGTTGAATTTCCCTCCACCCTTGCACTATCACCTACTTGAGTCTGCCTCCTACCTTTACCTTTTTTTAACATTATCTCACAGATGTGGTTACCATTAAATATTTGGAAGGTACATTATACATAATACTTGTTTATTCCCTTTTTATTTATCTAAAATGTCCTATTCTCTTTATCTGTATCAATGCTATGCTTTCCTTTGCAACTTCACAGAACTGGATTATGTGAAATCTTGATATTTATAACCTTGAAAATATTTAGGTAAAAGCAGTGTACATACTTTATCTAAATATAAACATTAAAAAGGACTCCACAGTTCAGGTGAATCTGCCTTTGAGAGCAAAATGAACTCCTTGTAAGGAACAAACTGTCTGCCCAGGGGAAGAATTATCAAGAAGTAAATTTCATTTTTCTCCTGTCTTTTGAAAGCTCACGTTATACCTCAAAACTTATCAAAATTGATCAGAATTATAGAACTGAAGGAGCTGCAGTAACTTGGAATGGAGACATTAATGAAAGCTATTCATTAAAAAGAAATTAATTAAAAATTACCATATTGAAAATTTATTAAAGAAAATGTGTATCTGACTGTGATTCAAATTCCTTTCTAACTCCTGACAGTCTAGACCTGAGCTTTTAAAACTGGGACTTGTCTTTCCAGTTGAAAGCTGTTGTCCTCAGAGCTTGGGCAAAACACTCTTGGGGTTGCTTCATTTGCTGAGAAAGTCTTCTGCAGGCGTCTCTGTTACGGGCATCATGTGTGTTGCCTGTTCTGTATCCTTTTTTGTAGATCTCTGTGCAGTGAAATTGTGGCTGCAACAACTTAGCAGAAGCCCATACTTCATATAACCTAAAGTTATCACTGATCAGTTTGCTGGTCCTTTCTTCTCCAACCTCCATTAATTTTGATGGTCACTGGCTTTCCCAATCCAGTTTTACAACTGTTGAAGTTGCACAGGTGTGTGTCTTTGCAGGTGTGTGCCTGCACACGGATCCCATCTATCTGCGTGTTTCCCTTACTAGTGAATATGCTTTTCTCAAATCTTCGTTCGCGAAGCCTAGCCATGAATGATGAATATGCTTTTAATGGTTCTTCTCATTGCTCCCAGCTGACACAGACTGATATGGATCTGATGGAGCCTTCACTGCTTCAGTATCCTGACTGGAAAGGACATCTGTTGTAAGTCTTTTCTGTAATGCTTCTCTTTTTGACTACTTGTTCAATAAGCAGAGTGGATGAAGACAAGCCGCTTACATTTGCTAGTTAAAACTTTTCTAGGTTATTTAATCATCTTTTTCTTTGCAAAACCGTAAATTAGCTGTCCTACCAGCTAATCCAGTCAAAAGCTCTTTTATGGAGAGAAAGTGCAAGTTTTCTAAGTAAAACAAAATTTTAAAAGCACTGTGTGCATTAACAAATTGGGTAACTTTAGGCAGTTCTTTGAAATATAGTGAATACTTGGGGACAGTAATCCTTCTCTTCTGTACATGATTAAAGCTCATGAGAAATGCAGGCACCATTATTGATATTATCAACATCATCCATGACCTCTACTGTGTGTAAAAATCCTCTCTGTTGCATGGGTTTATCCTGTTTTCTAGCCATTTCCATCACACTTTACTATGCCCTGACTTTATTTTTCTAAGATGTAAACTAGTTTGGAAACCCAGCCTCTTGGAGAATAAGCTGAATCAATGTTTGCTTTTGTGTATTTTTCAGTTTACGTGAGGAAGTGGCTCGATTTTTGACCTATTATTGCAAGGCCCCTGCACCTCTTAAAGCAGAGAATGTAAGTAACCCAGTGTTCACTGATGTCTTTTCTAATGTATTGCCATTTCTTGGTAATCAGTTTCAACTTCTGTTCTTTTAAACAAATGATTTAGTAAGAATGCAGCCTTTTATCATGAGTGATTCTTCATTTCAGTAGCTTTTGATACACACTTCCATTTCAGTAATTTGCTTTTGATGCAAACTTCAGCCAAACCATTTCAGGTCTACCATATATTTGCCTCATGCTTTTCTTTGGTGTGCCAACTCCTCCTACCAGGGCTCTCAGTGGGGCTTTGTGTTTTCATCTCCTTATTCAGCTCAGTGTCCTACTATGCCTGTATACCTCAACCTTGACAAAGAGTGCCCATTGTTTCAGTTGAGTTTAATTTCATCCCATTCTGCTGTTACACCTCAGGACAAAGGTTTGTAATTGAACCAAGAGGTAGTTTTAGCCTGTAAAACAGACCTTTTCAAACTTCATGCCAGTAAGGAAGGCATCAAGACCTGAGTCTCTCCAGAACTTGCTGACTTGGGAGAGATACAGGTGCCTGTAGGGATCAGGGACTCCCTATGGTGCTGACGACAACAGGAGCTGGTGCAGCCACTGCTTTTCTGGCTGCAGTAGTTCAGCAGAATCCTGTACTTCTCGTGAACTGAAGTTACCACTGATCAGGTTGCCGATCGCTGCCTTCTCAAGGCACCTGATTGTCCCTGCTACTTGGAATGAAACTCATGGTACCTGTGAGCTTTAGTCTTCCAGAAGCAGAAGTCAAACCTGCTCCTGTACAAGACCCGTTTCCACTTTTGCACAAATTTGTTGGGAGGTCAGAGCTGCTATTACCACAAAGAGACAATATCATATATTAGCTGCTGAGAAGTAGTTTGCCTTCATAGCAGTTCAGAATTGCTCCCCAGTTTTTTTCCTATTCTTTTTCTAAATTGTGTATTAGAATCAATAACGGCACCAGAACAAAGTGTCTCTGAAGCAAAGAACAGGATTAAAGTTATTTCTGGTAGAAGTGGGATTTCAGCAGAAAAATTCCACTAGACAACTGGGGAGAAAATTTATTTCAGTGATATTGTCAGGAATTATTATAGTGTTGTCTTTCTATGTACAGATTTATCACTATCTTCTCTCTTTCTTTTGTAGGTCATTGTTTTAAATGGCTGTGGCTCTTTATTTTCTGCATTAGCTACAGTCCTTTGTGATCCAGGGGGTAAGTGGATGTTTGAAACATGGTTTTGTTTTGGTTTGGTTTTTTGCTGGGAAATACTGTGTTACTTCATTTAAATATTGTTTGTCAGAAGTGAAGGAGTGGAATTGGCATTTGCCTTCTTCAAAGTTCTTGTTTCCTGCAAGACTGTGCTGTGAAATTCATGTCGCTTGTCTGCAGATGTCATGCACTTACGCTCGATGTCTGCCCTGTCTGCCTTCACTGTTTTTGTGCCCTGCCTGCCTTCACTATGTTTTAGTTTGCTAGGCTAAACATAGGCTATGTTTACCTGGATTCTTGCAGAAAATTAGAGAATTAATGTAAAAATAAAGTGAAGGCAAAGGCAGTAACACTGCAGTGTTTCCAGAGGGCTCAGTTGTAAAAACACTTTCATGTTTAGCTGAAGTACATTAGGAGAGAGAAGGATTGTGACCTGTTGATAACCAATTTTATTTTCTCGGTTCCAGAAGCTGTTCTGATTGCTACTCCCTTTTACGGTGGTATTACCCAGAGTATCTTCCTCTATGGTAATGTCAAGCTGGTGTATGTCTGTTTAGACAGTAAGGTAAGACCTGAGGAATACCAGCTTCTGTAGTTAAATTGATACTGGGAAGTGCTGAGCTTTGTGAACCTTTGGGAGCCGTTCTCAGAACAAGGATACACTGCAGCCAGTGGACATTTTCCCAGTTTATTACTGGGAAACTGGGCACATAATTTGCAAGAAAGTAATTTGAGACTGTAAATCTTGGATTCTAGTTCTGTCGTTTTCTTGTATCTTACTCCCAATAACAGCCCTTGAAAAGAAAAAAATGACCATTTTTAACCTTGGAGAGAGAAGTATGTCTGTCCTACTAAAGATGGTCCCAGGGTGGAAGAGCAGATGGAGATCTTGCATTGTTTTAGTTATTCAAAGATAAGCAGAGAATTCTGTTTGTGGCCAGCCTGTGATTTCTTTGATTTCTTTGATTTTATTTGTTTATCTATCTATCTATCTATCTATTTATTTATTTGTTTATTATCTCTGTGGTATAAAAAGATAAGAAGGTAGTTGGTAGGTCATTATTGTTGGGGTTTTTTTTCTTTCAGGAAACGTTTCTCAGGGAATTGGCTCCGAGAAGTCTCTACTGAAATAACTTGGCCTTTTTTATCTCTTTTATGTCTTTCAGATTACTGGAACAAACACTCGACCTTTCCAGCTTACAGTGGAAAAACTGGAAAAAGCTTTGCAGGATGCCCAGGCAGAGGTGAGTTTAGCTGAGCTTCACATTACTGCCTCAGTCTACAGTATGTTGGAGACATGATGTCCCAGAAGTGGCCTAAAGATCAAAGCACTTTCAAAACCGATCACCTGTCTTTCTGGTTGTCCTTGCAGACCTCCTGAGATTAGGTTGCTTGCAAACTCGAGGGCAGTCTTAGGGGGACTCCCTCAGTGTCATGTCTGTCCAATTTTGGTCACAACAGAAAGGATAAACTAGGAGTACCAGACCATTCACAAAGCATTGGAACCCATTCATATCACAAAAAAAAAAGAAAAAGTACTTGGCCATGCACTAAAATTTGGGACTACCCAGGGTTTTTCCTTCAGACAGGCCAACTGAGTTACCCCAAAACTGACTGCTCTACACAGCAGTGCAGATGAATCCACTGAGAACACTGAGAGTTTTTGCAGAAGGGATAGAGGTACAAATCTAGACGATAAAATAAAGATGAATATTGCTTTTCTGAAGAGTGAATCTCTAAGTTTTGACATTGTCATAAGTCCCTTAAATGTTTAACCTCGTCTTTGGATCATTACTGGCTCTGACATCTCCAGCCAAGTGTGCTCTAAATGAGTAACTTTGCATCCACATAACTCAGATTCTCATCTTTCTTACCACATTCGTGGGCAATCTTCAGTAATTTATTTCTTCCCAATTACTGATATAGCTCAGAAAAGTGCTCCCATGCTGAGGACATGTGAGAGCATCTTTCTTGTTGATTGGTTGACCAGATGGCAGTGATTGTGGCAACTCCCTCTTTTAAAAATCATGGATTCATTCTATAATATTTTCCTCAGTTCATTTTGCAAGTATATAATTGTTAAAAAAATATTGATTTGTGGCTAAAAGTTTTCTCATACAAATCTAACCTTTGAGGTGAAAAGTCATGGTAGATGCTAAAGGGGAATCTTGCGTCACACTCACTGCTCAAGTAGAGGGACTGCGAATTTATCCCATGATATCCCTCTCTTAATGCTGTGTTATTTGTACTCTACAGGGTGTCACTGTAAGGGCCTTAATTCTTCTGAATCCCCAAAATCCCCTTGGGGACATCTACTCTTTGTCAGAGCTACGGGATTACCTGGAATTTGCGAAAAGGTATGTCAGTTTGGAAGGCTGAGGCATCCTGAGTCAGATACAGCTTCCAGAATCTGGTGTGCTACTTGCTGTCCCTGAATTGCTGTGAATATCTCTCAAGTCAGGCAAACTGTCTATTCTTCATACACAGTAGTGGACTTAAGACAGGAGAGAGGAGTGCTGGGAACATGGACTGTGCAGTCATCTGGGTTGGTAAAGCAACTTGCATCAAGGAATGCAAGTTTTATTTTTCAGTAATCCTAGCAAACACTCTAGTGCTGTACTGCCCTGGTAGAAAGTTGAGTTCTTTTCCTTTCAGTTTCTCTGTATCTGTAAAGACAAAGGAGTGTATGAATATGTGTTCCCAGCTTCATCATGGATCGTAATACTCTCTGAGATTCCGAATCTCTCAGATGCTGAATGGATGATGATACAACTTATTCTAGATGGGTATTACATACAGGAATTAATTTTCACTAGTGCATTGAAAATGATTGGATTTTTGCCTTGTTATATGGTTGCAGTGGGTGACAGTTAAGTGGCTATACCTCAAATCACTTCAATGTACATATAATAGACCTGAGTTAAGAAAAACTGCTTTACTTTGCAAAATTTGGCATCCCCTCTTCCTTATATAAAGCAACTATTTGCAGGCCTGAATTTATCCCTGCTTCTAAACGTGAAGCAGCCTTCTTTAGTAATCTCCATTTTGTCCTTTTGCAGACATGAATTGCATGTGATAGTAGATGAGATCTACATGCTGTCAGTTTTTGATGAATCAGCCACGTTTCACAGTGTCCTAAGCATGGACAGGTAAAATCAGCTCCTACTTCCCTGGCCATCTTCCAGTGGCAGTTCAACATGATGCCTTGCTGAGAACTTGTGACTGGAAGTTAAGTCATGAGCAAGCAAATTCTGAATCCGCCTTATACTGATTTCTTTCTTTCTTTCTTTCTTTCTTTTTTTTTTTATGTAATTTCTGAATGGCAAATGTATTTTGTCAAGTGCAATCTAGCAAGTAGAAATGACAGCGTTCTGTTGTGGTACAGATCACAGACTGGTATTACAGACTGGATAAAGGCTTTTATTAGGTATTTTTTAATGAGATGAAAAAATTTTCAAATCTTTAAAATATGGTGGGAGGGATTGTTTTGAAGGTGGACTTCTTGTTTGTTTGTTAAATTTCTAGTCTTTACAAGTAGTGCTATTTTTCGTTTTGTGCTCAGTTGCAAGGAAATAAAATTTTCTTGGTTAGGTGTTAGCACAGTGTTGCTAGGCTTGGATGTAAGAGAAAATGACTTTTGATTCTTGGAAAATAATTGGCAAAGGTCTGATTTCTAGCATTATATGTACAAGCTTCATATGTTCAGGAAATCTGTGTAGAAAATGTAGCACTGGTATGCATCTGTATATGTGAAATATTTAAAAATTCTGTCTAAAACTACTTCCAGGGAGTTCCTAGCTTCTAAAGTTATTTGCATTTGCATTTCCCTGCTTGACTAATGTTCCTGGTGCACTGTCTATCACTGTGTAATGCTGCCTCTCTGTTTCTGCAATGCTGCACTGGTGATCCAAAAGCTTCAGCACCTATGACACTAACTGCCCATCTGCATCCTTCTACATACAGATTGCCTGATCCACAGCGGACTCATGTGATGTGGGGAATAACCAAGGTGAGTGCTGGTTGCTATTGTGCTGTGGCTTTGTGGCTGGTAGGGTTGGTCTGGGGTCCTCAGGTTCTCATGCTGAAAAGAGCGAGGTAGTAGCAATAGGATCCCAGCCTTCCTGTGTAATAAAGGAGTCTCTCTGCATCTTCTCCAGGATTTTGCTGTTTCTGGGATTCGTTTTGGTACTTTATATACAGAGAACCAAGACGTTGCTAATGCAGTGGCTTCTTTGTGTTATTTCCATGGGGTTTGTGGACCTGTCCAGCACAAGGTTGCACAGCTGCTTAAAGACAGAGGTGAGTCAGTAGCTCCATGTAAAATCCTCTGCCATTCTGTGTGTTTTGGTACCTGGAGGATCCCCTCCCCTAACTTTCTTGAGTGGTCTCCTGTTTGTTCAGCCCAACTGACAGTCTTCTGTTACCCTGAAACTGCCCATGCGACACAAGGCTGACAGCTCTACATAAAAGGATCATTTCTGCAGAGCTTCTGATCAGCAGAATTAGAGGAGCAGCTTGGAAGAAGTGTGGTAGCTATTTGTACAGAAATAGACAGTGTTGTGTAGAAACACACCTTGTGGGACAAGGGAAATGGAAGTTGATTTCTAACTCCACCCAGGATGGAATGCAACAGTCCACAACAACTAAGAGCTATGAATGTAGGGAAACTTCCTTAGGAAGGTCAAGAAAATACTCTAGTGCACAGACATGAAACTGCTAAGTAATTCTTGCCTGTCTTTTTGTTATTTGAGTAAACAGAAAACAAAAGAAGGAGGTGAAGGGTGAAATGGAAAAAGACACAGAGTATTTTGGAAACCTGAACAGATCTGAATACTTTCTCAGTTTGCGATTCTTTTCTTCTCCTTCTGGTCAGACTGGATCAACCAGGTGTACCTGAGGGCCAACCATGCCCGCCTAAAAGCTGCCCATACGTATGTGACAGATGAGCTGAAGACACTTGGGGTTCCTTTCCTCAACCGCAACGCAGGCTTCTTTGTTTGGATTGATTTCCGAAAGGTTGGTAGTCTTAAAAAGTGAGGCTTCTCCTGGGTTGAGGGCAGGTACACAGTGCAACTGCATCTAGGAGAAAGGTTGATATTGTGCTAAGCATTTTGTTTTAACAAATCTGTTGTCTAATGAGGAGAGGGAAGGACTGTCAGGTGTTTCAGTCTGTTCTTTTCCTTCCGTCTATCTGTGAACTTCCCTTCTTGCAGGAATCTTACTACTCTCAAGCCACTTTCCTCCCCATTTCTTCCTTTATATCACAACTGCTGTACTTCAGAGGTAAAAGGTGTCTCCCTTGGCCTTTGCAGACCTCATGGGAATCACAAATTCATGAGGATCTCAGTGATTTAGCCTATATGTTACTAACATCTGGCCCTTCTGATGACTCTTCTAGTACCTTAAGACAGGCACATTTGAGGAGGAGTTGCTACTCTGGAAGCGTTTTCTGGATAATAAGGTCCTCCTGTCCTGCGGAAAAGCCTTTGAATGCAGTGAACCTGGATGGTTCCGCATCATCTTTGCTGACAAGACCCACCGGCTACAGTTAGGCGAGTAATGTTTTCTTCTCTTTTTTCTCTCACCAGAATTTCTAGAGCACTGTTCCCTTCTCTCCTTAATCCTAAACTTAGCCTATTGCTATCTTCTTGTCTTCTCTGTTTGTCTTTCCTGTCTCCATCCTCCTTTAATGGATCTGATGGTTTTGGGACACTTATGGCTCTAACTAATCCACCAGTGTTTCTCCTTCTTATACCACTGCAGGTATGCAGCGGATACGCAAGGTTTTGGAAGAGCGGGAGCAGGAGATACTGGCAGAGGAGAAGGAGCAGCCCTGTCAGTCAGATCAGGATGGCAAAGCAGATAGCACAGATGAAGTGATTTTTGTATCCCGCCACCAGGAGCCTACCTGTGCCAACAGCTCCAACCTTGGTGACCTCATTGGCCTCCTGCAACAACAGATGCGTTCTTCTGACTGGCTACAGAAAAATACAGCTGAGCAGTTTGCACAGGAAAAGCCAGAGATCTATGATGTGTTCAGCAAACTGGTGGGGAAGCAGTAACAGTCTGTGTTCCTTCAGAGGCATTCCTGAGCAGTGACTGACCCTGGGACCCTTACAGCTCATAAGTGACTTCCAGCAAATAATATATTTTCTGTATAGCAAGAAAATTACTTTGTAAGCCCCCTCCTCTTCCCCCATTTGAGATCTCTAATTTGTACTATATAGGTGTATTCCTTGGATTGGGGTGAGGGTAGGGAATGGGGAGGGGGGTCTTGTTTTCCTGCTGCTCCCTGTCCTGCAGCATCATTGTATTTTGTATTTCATTTCTAATGAATATGCTCTTAACTCTCTTATAAAGTCCTGTGGTGTCATTTTTTTTCTTCTTACTTTGCACTTTCCAAGAAGACAGAGACTTCAGTTTGTTAAAATGTGTAAAAGTTTCTCTTTTCCTGAAGGATGATCAGATGTGACTATTTTGGGGCCAGAAGATCACTACTGTCAGAAAGAGGTGTTTTGGGGAGATAGAACCTGGTGTCAGCCCAAACTTAGCCCCAGCTAAGGGTAAATAAGCATGTGTGCAGATTCATCTGCATGAGTGAGGCTGTTTTTGAACCATGGTCATCTAGACTGAGTTCTGTAAAGCTTTCTTTTTCAGTTTAAACTAGATCTAACCTCAGATCAGACAGTATCCAACACCCTCGGTTGATGAAATGCCTGTTTTTGTTTTTATTCTACTTTTTTATATTCACGTAAATAAACAGCATTCATTGGCCTCTTGGTAGAATGTCCACAAAAGGGCTATGAACAGAGAGGCAGTTGAAAGTAAATGTTCTTTCTACAGCCTTCCTATTCCTGGAAGTCCATCCTGTCTGGTTAACAGTGAGGTATATTGGCAGGACAGTGCAGAGAATGCTTCTGCCACCATGCTAGGTGTACCTGCAGGTGCATCTGCTTCTGTCACCTACCACAGGTTTCCAAGGTGGCACTTTCCACCATTATCAGGATAATTAAGGCAATTTTTTGTCTGTGCTTGTCAATTTGCAGAGTAATTTTTTGACTAAACAGTATTCTTCCACCTCCTCTCCTTCCTCCCTTTCCCATTTTAATACACTTTTCTGTATGCTGGTGATAGTGTTTTTCAGTTGGAAAGCTTCTTTCACAGATACAAAGCTCTTTAATTTCTGGTACTGTAAAACTTTAGATATCTTAAAGGAATTGAAACTGTTTCTTCTGCATACATATTAGTCCAGAGTTGAAGGAAACTGCCCATGAAGATGGCATGGAAGTGCACCTTTCCCCTCTTGTAATTTGTTCTAATAGCAACCAAGTTTCATCTTGGTGACATTGTAGAATCTGTTTATATAATGAGCTAGAGAGGTGAAAGATAAAATTCTGTCTAGATTCTGTGCTGTCAGAACAGTTGAAATTTGCTGATCACAAATGAAGAACTATCTTCTACTCTTCTGATCAAGCTCCAATATGAAAAAAATCCTCCATCCCATGAAATACTTGCATCTTGCTTAGATTTGTAGATCATTCAAGAGAAGGGTGTTATTGAGAGCTAGCAGGAAATTCATATTAGTCTCTGTTTCAATCTTTAAGTACACCAGCTTTCATTTTATAGTTACTTTGTGAGGTTGGACATTCATGTCAGTGAATGCTGGCTCACAGTTGTACCATTATCGCTCTGTTAGTTTTGTTCTTGGGCATCATAGATTTTGGCAGATGGGCAAGAGTGACAAAAGCATATGTCTGCGTTATAAACCAAGTTACCCAGGCATAGGTAGCAAATAGTTAATGTGATCACACATTAATGTATGGTGATGGTGGAAAATTGCCTGGATGGTGAAAAGTCTGAGCAGTGGCTGAGGAGATGGTGCTGCAGATGGCTGCTGTTAGCAGTAACCAGCTTCTCCCTCAGAAGCCAGCAATGAGGCGAGGCTGTTGAGGCGGTTGATAAGACCAGTGTAAGGGATAGTTATAAACATCATGTTTGTTTACTAGTTTGGCATTTGTCCACGTACAGTATTTTAAAGGACATTTTTTATTGTAATTTGCTTTCCATTTCATCTTAGGGGTCCACAAAGTAAGCTATAGTAGAAGACAGGTCTCCTTAATGGAACGGAAGGTGAGATGTGCAGTCAAAATACAAATGGACTTCCTGATTTACCCCCTCATATTTAGTACCCCAAGGAGGAGCTAAGCAACAAAAATTTAGGGAGCAAGCTGTTTGAAATCAGGAACCAGGTAAGACAGTATAGGCATTAGTTGAAGTGGCATTTCAGGGAATTCCTGTAACAAACTCAACCCCTTAATTGCTCCTAATTTTCTTTTGTCGTTCTAGTCACTCTTATGATTGGAGTATGTGAATATACAACAGTAATAATTAATATAACGTTTTTCACCTGTATATGTTTACTGCTCAGAAAGCAGATTTATTGTACTGTCTCTGTGTGCATGCAGCTAGTAAAGCACACCTCTGTGGGAAAGAGGGTGTAATACGCCTTTAAAATCCTCACAGCTAATATAGTATGGCCCACAGTCACTTCCATCTGAGCTTGCTGGAACTCAAAATAACAGAACACACAAACACACACTTTGTTGCATGGAGTATTTTCCATGGGTTTTTTTCCATTTTTTTCAGCTGAGGAGCTCTCCACTAAGGCATTTTAGCTTGGTCACAGAAAACAAAAAATTAACTGGAAATGAGGCAAGAGAGAAATGTGGTGTCCTAAGTCTGCTGTTGAAATAAGCAATGTTTTTTGTTGACTGTACAAACCACATAAATTTTGCAAATGGCCTTTACTGCTTGACAAGAATTAGTAAACATGTAGAAGGTCCTGTGCATATGTATGTAGAAGCTAAATCAACTCTTATTTGCTCTGACTACCTGGAGAGAAAAAAACACGAACTCTGCCTGTACAAATTGTTTGTTCCTTCTGCTACCTCCATGTTAGATGTTCTCTCTACTTACTGTATCTCATAATTCTCATTAATGACTTTTTTTTTTCTTCCTGTGTGTCAAATCTTTACAGAAAAAAAAATAGAGAAATGATTAGGAACTCTCCCATCCAGTCCCTGCCCCTGCATTTCTTTTGACCAGTTTGTTAAGCAATAGACAAAAGAGCAGCATCTCAAATGAATCCAGTCAGATCTATATTTTTAAAAATTGCTACATTTCATCTAAAATGAGAAATGCCACCAAGATTAATATAACAGTGTGAGCTTGTGCTCATTATAATAAAACAAGATGATAAAATCTCCTTTGCATACAACTTTTGTGCTCCAGTTATTATTTGTTTGAGCATAGAAAGGATCCTAGATAGTTATCCTTGCCACATTCCAGTAACACTCTCTCTGTCTCTCTCTCTCTGTTCCCCTTCTTCACAACCCCACCCCATTCTCTCTCTCTACTCCAGAGAAATGTTCAGCATTTTTAGGTTAGAAGTGGGAATTTCCTATGCAGCACTGCTCTCAGCCACAGAAACTTCCCTAACACACATTTCAGGCATAGACTTGACATTTTCATGCTTGTGGGAGGGGAAAATCTATGAATTTCCAAATTATTAACCTGTGTTACATTGCAGTTAAGCAGACAAAATAAATGAGGCCCATTCTAAATAAGTATTTAGGAGGGATCCTGCATGCTTAAAGAAAGAACCTGTAAAGATTAGTTTTCCCTTACAGAAATTGAATAGATCCTAAGCAAAATATCTGTAAGGGAAAATAGTAACTAATAACTTAACCTGAACTAAAGAAAGGTAGTTGTTCAAATATACTGTATGATAGACTTTTGGAGTTTGGGTCGTTTTGTTTGTTTGGTTTGTGTGTGTGTGTGTGTGTGTGTTTGTTTCTTTGTTTAGGGGGGGTTTGTTTGGTTTGGGGTTTTGTTTGGTTTGTTTGGGGTTTTGTTGTTGTTTTGGGGTTTTGGGGCTTTTTTGGGTTTTTTGTTGGTTGGGTTGGGTTTTTATTTGTGGGTTTTTTTGTTGTTTATTTGGGGTTTGTTGGGGTTTTTGTTTTTGTTGGTTTTTGTTTGGTTTCGGTTTGGTGTGTTTTTGTTTTTGTTTTTTTAATAAATACTAATAACTGTGTCTTTCTGTCTTAGAACATCTAACAGATTGTACAGTTGAGCTGACTGCTGTGTGCTCCTCCCATCCCCATAGCGACCCAGTTTCTTAAAACCTGCCTTGGGGTCAAATTATCATTTAAATTGACAATTTCTCTGCAGTCTTCCTCCAGCTACTTGCTTACAGAATCCCTCTGTAGCTCTCATCCTGCTGGCAGAGTGGTGGTTTCATTTAATCAGAGAGATAGTGGCACACAAGAGCTGTATAAAAAACCTCTCATGGATTAAGCTATGTGAATCACACCCCTGAAAATTTCTGCATCTAAAATATCAGGCATGCAAAAGGATAAAACTGCATTTTGCACTTTTAATTATATATGCAGCTCTTTTTGTAATATTGGCTGACCTAACAGGAGATTGTCTTGGTTATTTCTGAAGCAATTCAGACTGCACCATGAAGAACAGGGCGAGGTAACTTACAAGGATATATAGACAAAAAGATATGTGTTCCATCTGAGAAAATCAGAGTGGCAAGATACACTCCTTTTCCATTCCAATTAATCCTTTATTTATTACCGACTTACATAAAACACTGCCAACTGACTGACGACAAGATCCTAGATTATCTGCAGCCAACAAATGTCCTAAAGAGTCTGAGATGGTTATAAATACTCTACTTTTTGTCCTCAGTTTGCCTGGATTGGTTATTTTTAGCAAATAGCCAGTCGACCTTATCAAAATGAAGAATCAAAAATAGTCTGGAAAAACACTGCAAGGAAAGGCTATTTTTAGCTCTCTGTCTATTCCCTGCTGCTATCCAGCAAGGTCTGATGGCACAGCTCATGCATGAGTGCTTAGTTATTCTAGGCGAATGCTTGTCGTGACCTGTCCTTTCCCTAGATACCTCACTGCAGAAAGAGTTCAATTGATTAAAGATTAATGCATCTGCAGAGCGTGACAGCTGAAAGCTTTAGGGAGGGGGAACCTACACTGACAGAGTGTTTCTGTCTGCACCTTTGTGCTACATTATAGTTTCTTTGAAGGGAACTCTTGCCTAACTGAATCATCCTGTGTCTCACGTCCTTCAGTGGCTGCTGTTGCAGTAGACCTCCAAAGTATATTCAGCTTTTTCCTTTCAATTCAGGAAGGCAATAGAGGAAGTAGAGTTAGAGATATAAGGTAGATCACTGTTTTGACCAGTGCCATCCATCACAAAGGAGCAGCACTGGAAGTGTATGATGGTCTGGATCAATAGATAGAACCATGCAATTGGCTGCTAGTTATTGATCAGACTAGTTAAAAACTCCACTGATATAGATGAGGGTATCATTTGGTTGTAAGACTTAAACCTGAACAGTGAACCAAGGCAATGACTTGGCTGTTGCAATATTCTGCTTTCTTTTATAAATAGAAACTCTTTCATTTAGTTCAGTACCTTATATACTGGCAGTAACCATTACCAATTTTTTCGGAAAAATAAATTGAGCTATGAGTTTTTAGTTATGCTATGCCATATGTTGAAAATAAGGTTGAAAAGATGTCCTCAATTCATTAGTTTTCCCCTTCGTATTTGCCTTCTAAAATTATCTCCTTTTATTATAAAGGTGTTTTCAGAATGTGCCATTTTCATCACTGACTGCATAAGGCACACCATAATCTCGCATGCAGCTACTTCATGTGTGGAGACACAATAGCTAACAGAAGGTTCTCTGAACATTTCTTTCTCTTCTGTATACTGATCATCCCAGCAGAAAACACAGGATGCTGTATGTGACAGCAGGCTAATGTATGGTGTGATGGTAAAGCCCTTACAAACAAATTCCAAATGACCCCCAAAGAGCCATATAAGGCAGGACATAAAAGGGCAAAGCAAAGAGAGGTAAAATATCTGATTTCTCCTGTGCATTTATAAAAATTGATAGCCTGTTATCCAGATGCTGATGAATATTTTTACAAGCTATAAATGGCAACCTGGAGTCTAAAAATAGTCCGTGCTGCAGACTTGTCTGGCTTAGCTACATCACTAGAATATAAACAGGCTCCCTGGTGCGGTTTCAGGGAAATCTCTATCAAAACAGACTACATCCTCCATTTTTCTTGTGATTTTGAAATAAAATAGCTGATGCTGCTTGCATTTGTTTAATTCTAGCTTTTAATAAAATTGCACTGATTTCCAGATTTTCCTACAGGGATGAAGGGATCATCAGGTTTCCATGAATATTTCAGCTGCAGTTGATTCGATGCACTTTCTTCTCCCTGGCAGAGCAGAGAGGCAGAGGAAGCGCCCACGGGCACTGCGTGGGCTGGCGTGGGCTGCACTCAGTGACCCCCCCTACCCCCCACCACCACACGTGGACTGGCCAGTGTCCCTGTCATGAGACAGGGCTGGGGATCCCCATCCCTGGCTCAGGCACACCCAGGCACGGTTTGTGCTGATGAGCCCCATAGCTGCAGAGATCCAGCGCTCATCCCAGCAGCCCCAATACATGAATGGTACCCCTTCCAATTCACAAAAATTGGACACGGTCCATTCACCCTCCTGAAGGAGAGTTCCTGCCTCTGATTTATGAATGGCACAGTTCGCAGCAATTTGAAGCTGATGGGTTAAACCCAGAAACATTATGTGCTATAACAAACCTCAGTAGCTTGCACTTGGGAGGAGGAGGAAGCCAGTACCAACACTAAGAAAGATGCTTTGAGATCTGTGAGTGCTTTCTGTCATTGGCTTTGAATGTAGCAGACAGGACGAAGAAGGTAGCAGTGAGACTGAGCAGAATGCTACATCACCTGCTATGCAACGTGTGTGAGGAGAGGTCGAAAGAAAAGAAAAAGCAACTGCAGTGACAGCGTTTTGCCTTTCTTGTGGGAGTACCAGGCTGTCTCTGTGCGTGTGTGTGGAGGGCTTTGCAAGAAAGCCATTTTCCCAAGGGCAGGTGAAATGAAAGAGAACTAATTCATTGCAGATAGTTAAGACTGTTTAAGGACACAGTACTCAGTGTGTGTGTGACAGAGAGAAAGAGGCTCAGTTTAGAGGTTTAAAGCAGGGACAGGTGCGACCTCTTATCTTTTTGCAAACATACATTATAGGATAGTACACCACCACCTCACCACTGTACATAAGATACAAATACATAAAAAAAACTACAAGAAAAATTGAAGGGGGAATAATACACTTCAGGCCACCAAAAGCTGACACTATGAGATACACACAGTAAGAGTCTTTTAAACCACCAAGGATTATAGGATAGGATCAGAGCTGGCCTTCATGGTAGCCCAGGCAGCAGAGAACAGGTACTATGCTGGAAATGCTTCTGGCCCAGAAATCAGGCAGCTGAAGGGCTGCAGCAGGAGAAGTTTTTGTGGCAGGATATCACTGACCTCCGGTAGCTCCAGAGGCAGGCTATGGCAATGTTCCCTGGAGACCTGCAGCTTTACGAAACAGAGGACTTACTCCACAAACAGTCCGTATCTGTCCTCAGTTTGGCAGGAGAAACCAGCAAACAATTGAAAACTGCTGAAAACTGCTTAATGTTAAACTGTAACCATTGAAATAGTGACAGTTGTAACAGTCAAAAACTGTTTACAAGGTGAGAGATATAGAGTAATCCCTCGTTCCACCTCAGTGGCACAAAACATAGTCAGGGTGAAGAGCAGAAAAACATAAATAACATGGGTGCTACATGCAGGGACACTACCCTGCTGCTGCTGGAATGTCTCCACTGTACCATTGCAGTGTGCACGGTTCAGCTGCAGCATCAGCCTCTGCTTGAAGACAGGCTGAGGGGATTGGGGTTGTTCAGGCCGGAGAAGAGAAGACTCTGGAGAAACCCTAGAGCAGCCTGAAGGGAGCCTATGAGGATGCTGGAGAGGGACTTTACAAAGGCATGTAGTGATAGGACAAGGGAGAATGGCTTTAAATTGAAAGAGGGTAGATTTAGATTAGACATTAGGAAGAAATTCTTCACTGTGTGGTTGGTGAGGCACAAGTTGCCAAGAGAAGCTGTGGATGCCCCATCCCTGCAATGTTCAACATCAGGCTGAATGGGGCTTTGAGCAACCTGATTTACTGGAAGGTGTCCCTGTCCTGGAAACTGTCCCTGCCCTGCTCTGGAAGAGGGGTTGGAAGTAGATAATCTTTAAGGTCTTTTTCTACCCAAGCCATTCTATGATTCTGTGATCTTACTTACAACCCACCCCCTCACCCCCCTCTATTGACCTAGTCAGCTTCCATTTTTGGCAATGAAACCAGTGTCTGTGATTCCCACACAGCTTGAGTTTTGTGCAACAAATTTGTCCTCCTCTATCTTCTGTCAAAAGAGACATTAGTTCAAATTACTTTTGAGAAATTTTTGGGGAAGGTGTAGGTTTGGGTTGTTTCCTCACTTAAGGAGTGTGATCCAGCAGTAGGGAAAGTGACACATGATCACAAGAGTCCTCTGTCATTGAGAAAACTCAATATAGTTTTGGAAAGGCGCACAGAAGAAAGTGAGCCAACAATGCAAATGTATTGAAGGCCAGGGTGATGGTGGCTCATCGGTACAACCTTTGCACACCCAGGGAAACACCAGCATTG